AAAAGGGCTAATTTTCTGTTCTCACTGAAACTTGAGTGTTTGCGACCAATCAGCAGAGTTTTTAAATCAGAATGTTTTTCTGTGCACAGCTTGCAAAACCATATTCTAGACTGTCCACATCATTTCATCGTCCTCTTCCTTGCCTCGGCCTGATTTGAACCTAATGTATTGGATTCTTGGAAAMCATCCCTCCGTTTTCTGCAGAATGTTGTTGTCCTGGTTGTTTTCTCTGTAAACTCAGATACATTTTCATCAAAGACTAAAGTAGTTTGAATGAATTTAAATGGTAACCACCTCCCGGTAAGGCTGATTTGGCCTTTTAAGCCCTGAGGGGGGAAAAGCTGCTTTCCCTACATCACAACACAAAAGGCCATCTGTTTTAAGAGGAAGGTGAACGCACAATAAATGAGCAACACAGTGGTGCACAACACAACAATGAACGTTGGATAAAATGATTTCAATATGCGAGTGACTCAAAGCCCAGACTTAATCCTGCAGTTCAGACAAAAAGAACAAAATAAAACCAGTTTCAGGTCAAGTAAAGCAGAGCAGAGGTCTTTCAGTTCCTTCTGTTTTTCTTCCCGGCTGCAGAGCAGAGATCAGCTCGGGCCCTTTGGCACTTCAAAAGAACAAGACATCCCCACCCATACCGCCGTGTCGTGTTGCGTCGCGTGAGTGCACACATGAAGAGTGGGAGGAGAGAAACAGTTACTCACAACTCACAAAGGCTGCACAGAGAAACTGTTTAGTGTAGGGTCTATTTCACATGACATCAATCAGTAGAAGAAACTGCTTTAAATCTCAAGCACCATTTGCTTTCCTTAAAGTCCCCCATCATTTCATAAAGAACCGCGTGATAAATCCACCATTCTGATTTATTTAGGGGTGAATTCTGGATTACAGAGTCAGAGGTTGCACCGTGATGACTGCATGACTTTCCTGCAGCTCTCTGAGGTCAGTGTCACAGAGGTGAAGCAGATAAAATATCTTGTGCAAAGACAGCAGCTAAATGAGAGCGACTGAGTGCGTTTCACAGTTAAAGTTCAGCGCTGATAGTCTCGTAGTGCTGCAGAGCGTCAGGCAATCAGGACACCTTGATGCTTCGACGTCCTTTCACTGGTYCTTTCCTCGCTCCCTTTAGAACCAGGTAAACATCAAGCTGCATGTCGGATCTGTTCAGTTTGAAAATCTGCGTGTCTGCCAAATTTACGGTATTTTCGCACAAAAATTTACCTTGAATATTTACAAAAAAGCATGCAAGTGAAAAGCAGTTGTGATAAAGCATAACAGTTTATAATCATTTAAAGCAACTAAATTTTACTTTAAACATGAAAACAGTGATCATTTATTAAGAACATTTGCACTAAATATGTCCTTTTTAACTTTGACAGAATAATTAATCCATAAAATCCTGGATAGTAATGTAATCCAACTTCTCTGAACTTATTAATAATTCTCAATGCCAAATCTAGACATTTTTTGTTTCATGACGTCAACGTGAGAAGAACAAGAATGTTTTCTATTGAATCTTTTCTACAAGCGTGATGAAAGATAACATTTTTCCAGACTTAAGAATTCCTCTGATCATTCCTTTAAATGCAACAAAACCTTCAAATGTAAGAAGATGATAAAAGTTTGTCCTTTAAAATCACTTTCAGTGGCATTTAAATTACAAAGATGGCATTTTCATCCAATTTCATTTGCCCCAGGGACACCTTAAAGCCATCTCATTACTGCACTACCCTGGACTAGACTGACAAGCTTTTGGATGAACCTCCAATACATAGTCCCCACAAGACCGGACCAGATGATAGTCAAACCAGAAGCGATAGGAAGGCTTTGTTTTTCAGCTTTTTATTTTATTTTTGTGAGCTACGGCTTTGTCAAAGGCTGGCTCACATTACAGAGACACAAGAGATAGTTTTAGGGATGTCCCAAACAGATACTCTGTATCGATATCGGTGGCAGATATGGACATTTTTTGAATATCGGGTAGAATCTGATTTACTCATGTGATCGGGCTGATCCAGTTTCCGCGACAGTTTTCAGCATCATCATGCCGCCGTTAAGAAGTCAAGACGCACACAAGTATGCAACCATGTCCACAGTGTGGGAACACTTTTCAMKGGAAAACAATGATGAAACTGCGTCTTGCAAAATCTGCAAACTGGTTGTTTCTAGTGGTTGGAACAGCAGGGCTCGCTTTAATACTACCAACCTTGTCACTTGGAAAGAAGTAAGGCTATCGGATCGGTATCGGAAAGACTAATCATTAAAAAAATTGGATTGTATCGGGAGCCAAAAAAAATCTGGATTGGGACTTCCCTAGATAGTTTGGCATTAAAAAACCATGAAGGAAAGATTTGCTGCTATTGGGAAACAAGGAGGATAAAGGCTATGCAGAGTTGAACTCATCGTCACACACATGGACATGTAAATTAATTCATTCACAAAAACAAGTGTCGACACTATGGATAAACTACGATCCTCAAAGTCTTTGGACTCTTTCAACCAAAGCAAACCTGTCTGATCACAGACAGGTAAAGAGCTGTTTTACCCATGAATTAAGAAATATTTATTTTAGATGTAATACGTTGGTCTTTATTTCTAGTCTCAATGAATTTAAATAAAACTTGTATTTGGTAATCCCTTGGCGTTCAGTTTGAATCTCCATTCTGACTGATTGACAGACTGTCAGGATCAGTTTTATTTTTAGAAACATTTGAAACTGTCCTTACTTTTAAAAAGTGACGGGAGCAAATCTGTGAAAGGTTAGACGACGTGTTCCCTGTGTTTATTAGTCGGCCACGCTCGATGCTCAGTTTGCTGTCTTTAATCCTGGAAATATAAATTTACCATAATGACTTATCACTGTTTTTATACCCAGTTAATAACCTCTACAGTATATTATATGTCATTGGGAAAGCTGGGTTTTTTACTACCAAAATGTCTCCGGCAGTCCCGATGTAGGATGTGTGACGTCATGTGGGAACTACCTATTCAGGAAGAAACGAGGCAGATAAGGCTGAAGAACAACATTGATGCTTTTGAATCCAATCAGTTTGCCCGGCCACCGAACAAAAACAAAAAACGAGGGAGAATGGCGGCTATGTGGAAGACGTGTGGCCAGTCTGACTGCACGTTAACGAACAACCACAGCAAACATGACAGGAATTAAAACAGAAAATGAAAATCAGAACAAATGACCTGGATAGTTTCTGAATCCCTGAAAGCTTCGAGGTGATTTCAAAGTGAGTCAGAGTAATGAAGCAGCGTGGTACTGACTAAATCCTGGAAAAGATGATGAGCAACAACAGAAATGCGTGACCTTTCCCAACGGCTATTTATGAAAACCCCCACCAACAAGCATTACTGTTTGTTTGGCCCATTCAGCTGAAGCCAGGAACATTTCTGCCTTCRTTTCTTGTTATTCCATCAGATCCTCCACTGGAACATGGGAGAAGGTTTTCCCAGAACAAAACGTGGATCGTTTCAAACAGAAAATACAAATATGAACAGGACCTGCGAGACAGGAAGCTGTTTCTATGAGGGCATTGTTCCGATGAAACAAGAGGTCTTCAGACAAAGAAAAACTTATCAACCTGAAAAGAATCGTGTTGTTTTAAAAGAAGACAACTAACTTTGTATTTAACTACTTAAATCTTTAATTTAAACAAACAATCTAACGTAAACCGGAGTTTTCTCAATTCACAGGAACATAAACTGCAGTAATCCATGAGATTAATGAGATCAAAAAGCAATACACCTCAGCTGTTCATTATGCTTTCAAAACATGGAAACATTTGGAAAGATTGACCTCTAAGCTAAGCAGGAAAATCCCAGTGAGGATCATCTGATCCTTCAGTTCGTCAGAGTCAGACGTTAAACTGTACGTGTGCCCAAAGGAAACACATGGGATTTTCAGTGATTTTAGCCCAATATAGCGATAGGTATCGTGGCCAATTCCCTAAATTAATTCAAATCACAAGGTTCTGAATCAATTCATCACAATTCGATTCGATTCAATTCGTTTCAATCTGCTCTAAAATAATGGTTCAACTGTGTTGCAAAATACACATCCACCATAAACAACAGGTTTTAGGGTCAAACTTGTAAACTGGACAATTTAATCTTGAAACAAAACTCAAGATTCAAAGTTTTTAAATTAAAAAGATCCATACATACGGCAAGTCAGGAGTGACACAAAACATAGAAACGCACCTCAGCTTCATCACACATCTCAAGTATGGGATACATCTTGTGCCAGCAGGAATTGAATTTGAATTGCTCAGATTGAATCTGAATGTGCAGAATTTGAAATTTAATGCAGTCAAACTGAACTTTTAATAAACCAAAACACAGTTTCAAAGCTAATTAATTCAGATACAAAACTTTAAATTCAGTTTCAATTTAGTGAAATTTATTTTCAAACCAATGCATTTAATTTCTAATTACGCACATTCAGATTCAATCTGAGCAATTCAAATTCAGTTCTTAATGGCACAAGATTTATCCCATACTCAAGCCCTGTGGATCGATTTTCCCCAATTTAAGTGACGTCTATGTTTTTAGCCAGTCCTAGCCCAGTAGTTATGAAGTTTTGTGCTTCCAGCCTAAAGTAGATCAATAACATGACTCCATCCTCCACGTGATTCTCAGCAGGTTCTGCTGAGTGTTTACACTGAGTGCATACYTGCATTTCAGGTTTGCATGTCAACATGTCTGGAAAACTACTGAAGTCTTTCAAACTGCATCATTTGATAGAATAACCTGTTTTATGTTTGATTTCATTCTCTACAATAAGTAGCTTTAATCTCTACAAACACAAAGGTTTATATAATTTTAATAAAAAATAAAGCGTTTTTTATAGCCTGAAAGTAAAGCTTGTTATCTGTAGCAGCTCAGCTGGGAGGATAACCAAAGTGTGACACATTATTGAMTTATTAAGTGGTGATAAAATAATTMKAATAAAAGAAATGTCCTAACGCAGGAGGACTCACCCACGGTGGCAGCTCAGCWGTCGGCATAATTTGCTTTACGGCTCTATCCTCGTGCTCCAGGTACGCCAAGGCCTGGTTTATCCTGTAGTCYTTATTGCTGTAGTTCTTCCTCCAGTAAAACAGGAGGGCCAGTCCAATCAGAACCCAGCTAAAGCTGAACTCAAAGTACCCCATCACGTAGACCGGGAATATGATGGCGAAGGTTTTGGCGAACTTAATCCACATCTGAGTGACGTCCGTCAGAGAGGACTGCTGCTCCTCGGCCAGCTCTTCTGGGGACACGGCAGGGTCTGACGGCGACGGCGGCGGCGGCGGCGCCGGGCTGCTGCTGCTGCTGGGGGGTCGGATCTGTCCATTCGCCCTCACACCTGGCCCCGCCGAACCGTCCATCGCGTTACTCATTTCCTCTCTGGAAAGGCAGAGATTTAATGTCAGGAGCAAACAAAGCAACAACCTCTGACTCTGCAGCACTTTGCAGGAGAAGTGAAATTTTAAATATTTATAATCACAAGTGTTTATGATTGCACCAACAAAAAACAAGTTTCAAATATCTATACATCTTTAACGTGCCTGTGACGTGCACATCCTCAGGAAAATATCTTTTTATTTAAGAAACTTGGCATGAAACACATGATTTTACCCATTTGGTCACAAAAACAGCAGGTTTTATTTTGAAATGGGCTCATTTAAAGTCAAACAGGAAGTGACATCAAAGGGGAACTCCTTGTTTACTGAAACATCGTTTTAACTCTGACCCTTCATCTCTGATAGAGGCTCAAAATAATCTAAAGAAACATCCGATTCTTCTGTACAGCCTGTCGTTAGCCGTTGTAGCAATGCTTTGTTTACAAGAAGACATTCCCCTTTGACATCACTTCCTGTTTCTCTACATGCAAATATCTCAACAACTGTTTATCTCAGCGGCATGAAATATATTTTGAATTAAGTTATTAATGTTATCTTTCCAAAAATGCATTTATATTAAAATAAACATTTGATGTTATGGGCACTTTAAAATGTACGTGACTGTCTTTAAATGTTAAATCCACCTCCTGAACTTTAAGTAGTTTTAGACATTACCAACTTAAATTTTACTAGTACAATTATAATTTCTCATAATCTGAATGTAAATATCTTTCACTTCAAGTCTGTCAAGTAATATAATGTTGTTGACAGGAGTGTGATTTGATCCTATAATAAAACAGCTTGCCGTACGTCATGCCGACTCAAACAGGAAGTGTTGAGAACACACGTGACACAGGTTGAGAGGGCGTGTGTGTGTGTGTGTGTGTGTGTGTGTGTGTGTGTGTGTGTGTGTGTAATCGCATTGTTTGCCCAACGTGTTCAACGCCATGACACAAAGCCTTCACCATACCATCAGTGACACTTCAAGATGTCAACATAAGTGACTCACATGTGTTTGCTGCACACTACTTATTTTTATCAGGGTTCACCTACATATTCCTGTGGTGACAGCCACACGGAGGAGAGAAAAGCTCATCCTGTGCAAAAAAATAAAATTAAATTAATGCAACCAAAAGTGGTACCACTTCTTAATTAGGGCTCCTGTATAAAAATTTTAATAATGCTGTAAATATTTGTTATTCATTGGTTTGTAAATGTTTTATAAAAGATTAACAAACATTTATAAAACTATCTATCCCTAAATTTGCTAAAAAGCATTGATTTTACTTCTAATAATGATAAAACACAAAATTATTTCTCAAATTTTTCAATTTATTTCAAAAATTTTAACCAGTAAAACAAGGATATTTTAACAAAAAGCAGAATGCAAAATCTGTTAAAGCCTCATACTGTATTTTATTTGTTTGTTTGTTTGTATTTTATGTTATGCAGTTGGAAAGCCAAGCTGACATTTTTGTAGTGATTTTGTCACTAAATCTTTACACAAATAAATAAATAAAATTAAGTTTTGAATCTGAAGTTAAGCTATAAATTCAGGTTAAAGTTTACACCGTGAAGCATGTTCTTTGTAATATAATATTTTCATTTTGAGAAGCGTCTGACTGCATTCTTTTATCATTACTCACTGCAACTAAGGATGGCGAGTATTTACGACAAGAAAGTTGACATTTCAATCACAAGTGTGTACTTTTCTTTAGTTATTTTCCCTCCGAATATAAAATCTCGAAGGTTTTAATCTAAAACAACCACAAAATCTTACTTTTTATGCGTGTAAAGCCACTTTTTAAGAGGACGCCGTTTAACTGACGCATATTTTGAACGGAGTCCGCCGTGACGACACAGAGTGACACGTAGGTACTTTTCAGCAGAAACGCAAACGCATAAAAATAAAAAAAAAACTAGTTGTTCCTCGAGCAAAGAAAGCGACACACTCACCGGTGTCCCGCTGAGGCATTCGCTGTCCTCTGAAAAATAAAATAAAATTTACTCCAGCCGCTGTTTCCACTGCATGCCGACCTGGTAAACTCTAGGAGCCCTCAGTCAGTTCATCCTCCCGTCTGTGAAGGAGACCCGTCCGTCTGCAGGAAGCTGTCATGGCTGGAAGGAGGTCACTCCTCCCCGGCAGGGAAGGAGCTTCAAACCCGGAGATCGATGGTGGACACGCGCGCCCTCTGGTGGCGACAGTAAATAACTACAACATAAAATTAAATTAAATTAAATTAAATTAAATTAAATTAAATTAAATTAAATTAAATTAAATTAAATT